GAATGCCTCGTTGCCTATAAACAGGGTCTCCGGTTCTCTACACTCACCATACGAAACACAGCAGCATTAAGCTACTATTTCACGCTGGTATTCTGTGAGAGCGTGGTCCTTCCCCGGTCGAGCCGACCCATTCGTGCTACAACTATACTACCAATATAATAATAGCATGGGGATATTCTTACACCGCCACTACATGAGAAATTTTTGTATACAGACCTAATGAGATATAAGACCTAATGTCTTAATTATGAAAAATAGTCTAAACCACTATCCCTATCCTGCTCTGTCCTATCCCTACACTCTAGAAATATTGACAATTAGTACTATTATTACAATAAATTATAGTATTATTTATAAAATAATCATTAAGTATTTGAAGTTCATTTGCAATTTACTTCATTGATAAGATCATAAAAACGTATTGTTTATTCTTATTTCCTATATTTCTCTTATTTTATCTTAATATATATAAATAACGTGTCACGTTGTTTGTCCGCGATGGACTCCTAAACTACTTAACCGATTTTAATCAAATTTGCACACCGTGTGCAGTTTGGTCCAACTTGAGAGATAGGGTAATTTTTTGCCCATGAGTGCCCCACAATTTTTTTTTGCGAATTTAAGGTTTTTTAATAGGACATGACAAATTGTCGTCGAAAAGGGCAGAACAACGTCTGCCTGGCAAGTTAGTTATATTATAAAATATTGTCGAGGGCCAGGAGTCGGGTCCAATGTCTACTATTTAGTTCTGTAAGGTTAGAATAAGGTTAAGTAGGTTTCGAAAATCGAATATAGAACGGAGTGAAAAAACTTTCAAAACACAAGTAAATACTTTTCGGTTCGGACTGTTTCATGTTTATTTAATCTCTTAACAACTTCTTATGCAAGGATAGATGTGGGTGCAAATGTACGTCAGCATCCACTTACCATTAAGTAGCCTGTGTTTTTTTATATATTAAAAGAGGGAGCAAACAAGTATGCGGCTCATCTGATAATTGTTGACCTCCGCCCACAACACAGTCCGCCTGATGGTAAGTGAATGCTATGGCCCATAGATATCTACCTTTTTTCTCGAATAACAAACAAAATGAAGATGCGTTGTCACCCCTGAGAACTAAGGTGTACAGCCTCGTTTCCAGTAAAAGGCTGTTATTTTGCGCTGGTATTCCGTGAGTGTGGTGCTTGCCTGGTCGAGCCGACCCATTTGGGCTATATTTAGCAGTAAACGCTGATAGTCTATCACGGCAACGGTAACAAAACGACAAACATTAACTTCCAAAACCCTACGGAACCCAGCATGCAATCAAAAAAATATTTTTTGTGCATCCACAATCGAACCTCGGACCTTAATTGAGCACGTGCGCGCGGTGCGTGATGAAACCGCATTTCAATCTTTTTTTTTTTGTCTTTCCGTCGAATTTTATATTTCAACCACCCAAAAATAAATACTTCGTGTATTTTTACCGCGTCGTATTTGTCAAACCGGTTACATATTACGTGGTCCATTACGTCCTACAAAAGTTCACTGCTTAACATAGGCTTCCGCCATAGATTGTAGCATAGGAGGTATTTCGCCATAGTTGCCAAACTTGGCAAAGGTTGGCAACCGTAGTTTTTATATTACTACTAAGTTGTTATCAGGAAGATGTTCCAACCCATCTCCTGTTTTAGTTTTCCTGTGTTGCCTCTAACGGCACACACGGGAAGATAATATGGGACAGTGGCTATACTTACACCGTAACTACACAATACAGTATACCGTAATGTAAGGGGGTAATACCACTCCATATTACATTTTGTTGATCAAAACGGGACATTCGTTTATTTAGGTCAATTAACAGGTGATCAATAAAAAAACAGAAGTAGTTATAGGATGATAATTGTTAAAGTCATTATGTTTTCCTTTTTTATAGATTGGTCGGATTACACCTATTTTTAGTAAGTCTGGATAAATAGACGTTTTTAGACATTGATTAATTAAGTAAGTATGTAATAAGAGGCACCATTGATTTCGAAATGTATTTTATATCACAAACGCGAATACCATCAAACCCGGGGCTTAACATTCATCGTTTTAATAATTTTGGTAAAGTCAGCATCCGTAGCTTTTTTATTTTTACGGTTCTATCTGGATTAATTTCATAGGTACGGGGATCTAAGAGTAGGTTATTCCAGTTTAAGCATATTTTTTAACATTTTTATCAAATGCTAAGCCAAATTTATTTGCTAATGTTTTGGTTCCATATTAAATGTTTTTTGTAATATATCATTAATACAACGCATTATTTTAACAGTTAAATTATTTATTAATTGCCAAAGTTCTACTGTATTTCAAAAATTTTCGCAAATTTCTTTTTTAGTATTATAATTTCATAAAAATTGAGCATATTTATTTATTTACAGAGATTTTTGAACGTATTCCCATGCGGGGAACTTTTTTAAATCTGCCCAATAAAATATCTCCATTTCTTTGGTAAGAAAGCATGTCCACTGCTCCAGATATCCACGGCTTGTTTCATAAAATTCTGTAGCCGCCCTTTCCACCAATTTTTCATCTATGTCAGTAACAATATCTTTCGATTTCACTTTTAATTGACGGACCGTATATGGAAGAAACTGATTGGTCTGTTTCTGAGTCAAATTGTCGTTTAGTTGATTGATTTTTTTTGTAGTTTCAGTAACCGATACAGTCTGAACTTCAAGTTTCTATACAGCTTGATGAAAACTTGCTGACTGAGCGTGTAAAAAATAAAGCCATAATTTGGGTATAGGATCTTCAAAAAAGTTTTTTAGTAACAACAACACAAATTTTCGCGTGGTTTCAGAAAACAGGACAATTTTACGTCCCAGAGTTCATTTCGGGGACACCGGGACTCGTAACTATAAAAAGGGACAGTCCCGTTCAAAACGGGACGTCTGGTCACGTTAGTAATACCCCATATATTACATTTTTGTTGATCAATAAGTGGACAAACGTCAAGGGTCCGAGACTGGAAAATGGTTTTGTAAGATCGTAGAGACTCTTTTCGGAAATAGCATTTCAATTTTATTAGGTATTTTATTCAGTCTAGCCTAGTTCTTACTATCATGGACGTAAAATACATATATGTATATAATCATATTTAATAAAATGGTACACTATAAAGTTCTTTATGATTAAGGTCTATGCCACACTGGACGGAAATTCTGTCGCTGATCTACTGCAGCGGAACGCTAATACATTTTATTGCACATATAAATGATTGATAACGAATCCGCATAAGGACTGACCGATCTTCCGCGTGTATGCTCGTTATTAGTAATTTATATGCAATAAAATGTATTAGCGTTCCGCAGCGGAAGATATGCGACGGAATTTCCGTTTAGTATGGCGTAGGCCTTATAGTTAAATAGGGTTTTTTATACGTGGTAGAGCCACAATCCAGCCAGATATATTATTGTTGTAGCATGAATGGGTCGGCTCGACCGGGGAAGGACCACGCTCTTACGAAATACTAGCGTAAACAACTTAATACTGTTGTTTCGTACGGTAAGTGTAGAGAAGCGGAGACCCTTTTTCTACCGGAAACGAGGCATTGCATCTTAGTCCTCAGGGTGACAACGCATCTGCATTTCGATTCTTAATCTAGAATAGATGTAGATGTCTATGTGCCACAGCATCCACTTACCATCAGGTGGACTGTGTGCTCGTTTGTCACCCTTATTTTATATACCTACATAACAAAGTAAAAGTTTTTTTTTAAATATATTTTTAAAAGAAAAAGACTGCCAAAAGAGTCACAAACAGGCCGCCGGATGATAAGTGGCTCGATTAAATATCAAAATACATATATGTTGTCACCTCTGAAGACTAACATGGAATGCCTCATTTTCAGTAATAAGGTTTGCCGGTTCTCTACGCTCAGCATACCGAACAGTGGCATTAAGCTTCTGTTTCACGCTGGTATTTTTTTATAGAATATAGGATGACAAACGAGCACGCAGTCCACCTGATGGTAAGTGGATGCTGTGGTCCATAGACATCTACATCTATCCTCGATTACAAATCAAAATGCAGATGTGTTGTCACCCGTGAGGACTAAGATGGAGTGCCTCGTTTCTAGTAAAAAGGGTCTCCGGTTCTCTACACTCACCATATGAAACACAGCAGTATTAAGCTGCTATTTTATGCTATTATGTAAGAGCGTGGTCCCTCCCTAATCGAGCCGACCCGTTCGTTCTATAACCATGTAGTATGGTTCTACCACGAATCATCATCGTCGTCGTCATTACACTGTGTTAACGTTTAATATGCGTAAGTTTGAAAACATATCTTCTAATTAATAATTTTACCGGTTAACAAGCAATTCAAATTACAAAATATACGCTATGCACAACAGTTTGCTTAATATAGAAATGTAATAACATATTCGTTCTATATAAGAAAATGTCCAAACAGTATTTAAGTTGAAGTTAAGTTAAAGTTACAGCCTATTTACGTCCCACAGCTGGGCGCAGGCCTCCCCTCATTTCTGAGGGGGTTTTAGGGCAAGGAAGTGTCCGCCGCGATGCCCCAATGCGTGTTGGCGAACTTCACATGTCTTCGAAATATTTTTTTTCTTATTCCTCAGACATACAGGTTTCCTCACGATGTTTTCCTTCACCGCCGAGCACGTGGTAAATCAGCACTAAAATTGCAATTAACAATTTCATTGGTGCCGGCGGGGTTCGAACCCGGGTTACTCGCGTTCTGTTATATTTACAGCGAGCGTTAACCATCTGAGCTACCACGGCTCTAAGCATATATATATCTTTACTATAATTCTGTACAATTTCTATATGAATTTTAAACGTACTTAAATAAAACGTATATATACTAATTCCATTTATTTATTATACCTACTCTACGAAAAATGAATGATTCACGTTGTAACTAAATATATGAAAATTACCCTTTTGTTTTCAGATAAGCAACTGAACGGAAGCCATGAGTGCGTGTTGAAACAAGGCTAAGTTTCAATATGGCGTGCTTGAAGTGCAAAGACAAATTGATAATAGTGTTAGTGCTAGTGAGTGTTTTCGGCAGAAGCATTAGTGATAGTGATGTGTTTGATCCACAAAACTACCCTAAAGACCTTGAAAGCGCAGCCGATCTTTTACAGGGTCGTGATGATGATGGAGTAAGCGAGGAAACAGTTGAAAAAGAAACTAAATTTAGTAGCGGCGAAATGGAAGCGGTAGCCGAGGAGGGTCAAATAAAAAACTTGGATACTGGTCGTCCATCGCAACAAGATGCGATCGATTACGACAGGCGCATGAATGCCGATTATGAAGCAGATAATACATCTATAGAAAAATCCATAGATTCTAATCAAACTACAGAAACAACAGCTGCAATGCCCGAGGCGGAGATACCAGAGGCTCTACGTCTTAAAAATTCAAGTGAGGAAAATGTAGACTTCAATGAGTACAGTCAACCAAATAGAAATTCAAATGACAAAACCGATAATGACGCAACTGAATTAACCACGATTGACGCTGCTGACGCTACGGAGGGTGTTTCATTGTCTACGATAGACAATAATGTTTATAAAGCCAAAGACATTGTGCCTGAGGACATTTATTTTAATCACAGTGCACGCAACGACGATGAAATGCAGGTGAGTTCATGACAGATTGTTTGTGGAATTAGCTAATCGCGACTTCCGGATTTGCTTGCGAAATGTGCCATCGTGTTCTTCTTCCTGGATATTTTACACCGTAAACACAGTATTTGCAATGGTTTAAATCATCATTTCTCAAAATGTTTATCGTATTCAAATCTAGAAAAGTTAACCACCAGGTTAACTTGATTAAACATTTTTACAAAATACGAGCGGATACACGCGACTCCGTCCGCGTTCTTGAAACTTTTGTAAATTTATATTAAATGAAGATATCGCAATTTTTGTTAGATAAGGGCCATGTATCTAAAAAATAAAACTTAGAAAACCTAATTAAAAGCTAGCGGGTATTTTTTCCATGATGCGCGTACAACTGCAAATCTCTATCATTTTATTTATATAGATAAATTTTAATTTATAATAATTATTAATTTATATTATTAGTACCCGGTTGACCGAGCTTTGCTCGGTATTTTTCGCTCGGTTTTTTTTTAATTCGTGTGTTTTGGAAATTATATTTAGATACAAATTACATACTGATGAAATACGAATAATATTTTTTGATCTTAGCGACATAATAGAAAAAACTGAACTGGTTATTTGAATAAAAAATCATGAGTGCAATTAGTTTATTTTAAATTTTCGTGTTTTTAAAAAATACTAAAAAAATGGCTCGAAAAAATAGATTTTCTCAAAAAAAGAAAGGAACTTCAAAAAAAATTAAAAAAATTCGGTCGGTCGGTCTGAGCTCGAACCATGGTATTACGATTTTGTGACCGCCCAATATACCAATTAAGCTATTTGTAATCATTAATAAACTATCAAAATTTACCTTCTTATTATAACAATATTGTAGCAGTTTTTCATTGCCTAAAAACACGGACAAAAAGACATTTTCTAAAAATAAATCCTAGCTAGATCGATTTATTGCCCCCGAAACTCCCTGTACACAAAATTTTATGAAAATCGTTGGAGCTGTTTCCGAGATTCCGATTATATATATATATATATATATACAAAAATTGCTCGTTCGAAGGTATAGGATATTAATATAATAAAAGTGTTGACAATACTTTAAAAATAACTTTAAAAATAACACAAGTTCACTGCTAAACATAAGTCTTCCACATGGTACGCCACAAACCACGGTCCCGAGCCATCTGCAGCCATCTACATCCTGCATGTCTTACCAGCTCGTCACTCCATCTAGTAGCTAGCCACGCTACACTTCGATATCGGTACGAGGCTGCCACTCGAGAACCTATTACCCTCAATGGTTGTAGCTTCTTCGACCTATCAGTTTCATTGCTAATTCAACTTTCAGATTCGTTACGCTAAGTCGGTTACTCCGGTTCTGCTAGGGATATTCTAATTAGGAAGTCTATCACGCAGAGAAGCATAGCCGACGACCACGTTTCAGTTTATATGTCACCACTGGCTACAAGCATATATATATGCATGTTTATTGGTTTATCAACTTTTAGTAATATGCAGACTTATTGTAAATATTTTAAGATATTTGCTAAGAAAGAACCGTGGTGGCATAAGCGCTAACTGTAAATTTCACAGTACGCGGGCAACCATGGTTCGACCTCCGCAGGCGCCAATGAAATTATTGATTGCAATTTAAGTGCTGATTTACCAACACGTGCATGAATTTGAAATGGAAAAAAATGTTTCGAAGACATGTGAAGGCCGCCAACATACACGCAGCGCGGCAGAAATTTCTTTACCCTAAAACTCGCTCAGAAATGTGGGGAGGCCTATGGCCAGGAGTAGGAGATTTTTGAAGGCTGTAACTTTACTATTACTTGCAAAAATGGCGGAGGGCTAAAGAGATGACATTTTAGCATTGACGGCAGTAGCTTAACGCTATGTTATTGCACGGGCATTAATATGTTAACATAGAACCCACCAGACGTTTACAAATAATTAACCAAGCAAGTTTACGGTGCGATTACGCAAGCTTTGCAATTACGTGTACAAGAACACATAATGGAATCATGTCTTGCATGAACTCATTAGCCCACCGCGGACACAAATGAGAGTTATGGGCGTTTGTGTGCTCAATGTGAAAACGTATATATAGAAAAACCAGCACACAGTCCAAACGGTTAGTGAATGCTGTGGCTCATGGACATCTACATTTATCTTCGATTAAGAACCAAAATGCAGATGCGTTGTCACCCCTGAGGACTAAGATGGAATGCCTCGTTTCCAGTTAAAAGGGTTTCCGGTTCTCTACACTGATGATGAGCCGTGGTAGCTCAGATGGTTAACACTCGCTGTAAATATAACAGAATGCGAGTAACCCGGGTTCGATCCCCGCCGGCACCAATGAAATTGTTAAATGCAATTTTAAGTGCTGATTTACCACGTGCTCGGCGGTGAAAGAAAAACATCGTGAGGAAACCTGCATGTCTGAGGAATAAGAAAAAAATATTTCGATGACATGTGAAGTTCGTCAACACGCATTGGGGCACCGCGGCGGACACTTCCTTGCCCTAAAACCCTCTCAGAAATGAGGAAAGGCCTGTGCCCAGCAGTGGGACGTATAAAGGCTGTAACTTTACTTTTTACTTTACTTTTACACTGATGATACAAAACACATCATAAAGCTGCTATTTTACGCTGGTATTCTGTGAGAGCGCGGTCCTTCCCCGGTCGAGTCGACCCATTCGTGCTACAACTATTATATAGCTGCAGCGTGGCCCTACCACATGTGATGATGATGTTTCTTTCATAGAGCCCTTTTTAGCACGAAATATAAACCTTATAAACGATTAATATCAGATTTCGCACGCAAGTATTTTCATGGCATACAAAAACTGTTTGGGTTTTTTTTTTATTCCTAGGGGTATTTTTAAAAAAATTATTAGTGTTAGGACTATTTTTACCGCCCAAATACGTCCCACTGTTGGGCATAGGCCTACTCTTATTTTTAGAGGGGTTAGGGCACGAAAATGTCCAGAGCACTGCTCCAATGCGTGTTGAAGAACTTCACATGCCTTCGAAATATTATTATTAATTTCTCAGACATGCAGGTTTCCTCACAATCTTTTCGTTCACCGCCAAGTACGTGGTAAATCAGCAGTTAAAATTGCAATTAACCAATTTCATCGGTGTCGGCGGGGATCGAACTTGGGTCACTCGCGTACTGCATAAATATAATTTACAGGGAGCGCTTTGCCTCCCTGGGCTACGTCGGCAAAGACAAATAAATTTCAACCAGTGAAGGGAAGAAGAGTCAAAGATGTTCAAGTCTGTTACTGCGATAATCAACCTGTCTGCCAAACGTTACGAATAAGACAAAAAGCAAAAAAAAAATCAGTTGCCTTTTACCGACCGTTAAAAAAAATTATGTCAATATTCGATATTATTTCCCATCTAATTTACGTACCGCAGTCAATACTGCCAATTTGGTCTAGTGGTTGTAGTAGTGTGACTGCCGACCTCATGAGGTCCTGGGTTCGAACCCCGAGTCGGGCCAAAATCAATTATTGAGTTTTTCCGCCAAGAAGTTCTCAGTAGCTGCTCGAAGTCTGGAAGTTGGCAGTGTCTCACCCCCGTGCCTCGAAGAGCACGTAAAGTTGTTAATCCTGCGCCTGATCTTTCTCCTGTCATGTCGGTTTCCCGTCCCATCGGATTATGAGAGTGAGGCAATAGTGAGTGCACATGTGCTTGCGCATACACGCGTGCACTATAATCCTGTCCTGCGCCGATGTCTAGTCTCCATTGAGGCAGGCCGCCGTGGCCGAAATTCGGTCTGGAGGACATTATTATTATTATGTACCGCAGTCACATGATAAATCGATTCTAAAGGAGTAAGTTCCAAAAAACCCAAATACTAGCAACTCGTGATTTGACTACTGTGGGATTCAAACTAGATACCCGCGCCGTAGACAATATAACCACTGAACCAACGCTGTTGATAGCATGATGGGGCAGTTGACTACACTTTCTTAACATAAATAAACTTTTATTTCCAGACAGAGATGCCGGCGACGCCACAGGCAACTCGAGCCAGTGGCAGCATAGAAGTTCTAGAATCTGCTGTAGAAGCAGAACACCAGTTTGAAAACCCTGGACAGAGGAGCCCGAAGATCGATAGTGGTAAGTTGATATGGTACCTTTTTGTTGTGAATGGACTATTTACATGATTTTAATTAACATTGAATCGTATTACGAGATACACCGCCGCAAAATAATGGTTGTAGCACGAAGACGTCGTCTCGTCCGGGGAAGGACCACGCTCTCACAGAATACCAACGTAAAATAGCAACTTAATTCTGCTGCGTTTCGTGTTCGATTCTCTACATCGTGTTCCGGTTCTACCGGAACAACCGGAAAATCTATCGTATAAAACTTTAAGTGCGATAAAAAATTAATGAACAAACATGTTTCAATGTTTTTTTTAAATATTCGTTATTGTGTATATTAACCAATAACATATAAACTTCGTTTAACGCTTTGCAAAAAAAATATGAACGATTATATTTGAAGAAGTACGTTCATGATCACATTTAAAGACATAAAACTATATGAAATCTTCAGGTGAGATATTTCCCATATTTTTTTCATAAATCCGCCATAAAAACGTAGATTTAAAAAAAAATACATCGAAATCGGATGATTTTTCGATTTTCTAGAGCCAAAAAATGAGGGGACCACGAAAGTATAAAATTACCTAATGAATTTCAAGCATCATTAGATAACATAGAAATCATTCCACCCAATATATCTTTCGGATATCCTTAATCCTGCAGGAGCAACATGCTTACCTAGTTAATAAATCAAAAGGGAAACCACTTAATAAACAACCAAGGTGTTCAAAGTTAATATTTACCACTGGACAGTCCTCCATTAATTTTCACTTTCGCAATGATTAACAACATGCAACATGGCGGGTGGCGGCTGTCGAGCGCGTCGTAAATTTGTAGTAAATCACCAACTTTCCCCATAGATGTCGCCACTTGTACTGCGCTCGGTAATTTAATTTTTTTTTAGTCCGAGAAAATTTAATGACCATCCTCTTTATGAATTAAAATTATCCGTCACATTTAGGTGTATAATACTTAATACAAACTTGATTACATAAAGCAAAATAGTCTTCAAAACCAAAAAGGAATGAACTGATTTCCACATATCTTAGGGAACTTCCTAGCTTACTTAAGTCGGTACTGAGGGAATAGCGATCACAATCACCAGTAATCAACGAAGAATTAAAGTTCAAAACAGACACAAAAACAACCCGACAAGCGGCGAATTTTTTTTTTTTTCAATTTTTTTGTGTTGAATACTCTTAAACTTCCATCGCAAGTAGATTTAAAAAAATTAAAACCTATTTTATTTTCAGCGGATTCCAAACAAACACTCGACAAGCGGAACAACGACGCGAAACCTCGCTCAACACCAATCGTCAGCAAGAGCACGACCCTAAGATCCTGGCTGGAAGACTCGTGGCTGCGTCCGCCCGCTGGGCTCCTGGTACCGCTAAGGCCAAAAGCCTTGAAAAGAGCCTTGGACGTGTGGAACGACCTGTCCGCTGGTGGGGCTTTGAAAATCAGCGATATTGTAATAGTCGGATATGATTCTAATGGTAAGTGGTAATACTTCTATTCTGTAGCCTAAGATGGTGAAGCGCACTGACTTAAAACGACACATCGAAAAGGCTATCGCCGTACTGGAATACATTTCATAAAAACTTAAAAAAAAACGCCGTCATAAGGTCTAAAATTGCGTAGCGCCCGCGACGATTCAAAGCGCTTAGAAATTGTCAGAATCTTAAAATATTTTTAAAAAAATATTGATTTAAGTAATCAAAATAATGAACAAGTAAATTATGAATATTGATGTTATGAATATATTTGAGTGACTCCCAAGCATATAGATTAAGTAATTTCGTTGTAATTTCAACTATAGTGATTTTTTAGAGGTGTTTTCGCAAATAAATATGATCGAGTCAAAATTATAATATACAATACAATCGTGTTTTTGAACAATCAAATTCAAGATAAAGACATGAATTTACCTATATCAAAACTCCACTTTCGTTAGTAGTGTCATAGGGTCTATTCGATGAAAGTAGGTGCATATTTTCACGGTGTCGCCTTAACAAAAGCGTATTCACTCTTGCATTGAAGACACCTACACTGTAATCGGATGGAAAGCAGATGCTGGCAAATTATTTCATTTCTTTGCTGTCCACAGATGACGAACGATGTAGCAAACCACGTGTAGTTCTGTCGGTATGTGTGTGACTTTTATATGTGGTATAGGTAAATACAGTTTATTATAGTGGCAACTCGAATGATTCGGCTCCACCGGGGAATACATAAAATACGAACGTGAAAAAGTGGTAAAATTTAAAAAAATCTACAACCGACTTCAATATAAATAAAAATCGGTCTAGGTGCGACCCGAAAGTTCCACACGACTAACTTCCTTGTTTTAATATTTTATACAATTTTTCATTCGGTACAAAAAACGTCCTGACCGATTTTGCTCAAAATTTAATGAAGTGTAAGTTACATGATTATGCGTTCAATGAAAATTGTCCCATGTCAATATCACTCTTTGTTCTCGAGATACACGAGGCGAAAATTGAATCCGAACATACATACGTACATGTGCACACACGGACATCCTCTTAAAAACCATACTATTCGACTCTAAAGACCGTGAAACGTGGAGATTTGTTAAAATTTCCAATTTGCAAAATCGGACCCATTACAATAACTTCCCACTGGGAAGTAATACATGATCAATGTATTCGAAGTGAAGTAAATACGCATTATTAAGGATCACTCAAAAACTACTGGTCAGATCTTAATCAATTACATGGGACAATTTATATGGGACCACACGAGAAGCGCCAGCTTTCAAATAAAAAAAGAATCATCAAAATCGGTTCACCCAGAGAAAAGTTCTGAGGTAACGCACAAAAAAAACATACAATCAAATTGAGTACCTCCTCCTTTTTGAAGTCGGTTTAAAAGCAGTCTAATTGCCGTGCTTCGTATGGAGTGTGCTGTATAATGAACTGGAAACCCTTTTCATTGCCAAACTAGGCTTTGCATCTGTGTCCGTCGTCCTGGGAAGTTTTTTATGGAATAAGGGTGTCAAACGAGCACACAGTCCACCTAATGCTAAATAGAAACTGTGGCTTATAGACATCTACATCAATCCTACATTATAAACAAAAGGTAAAAGGTTTTCTCACCTCTGACAAATAGAACGCCTTGTTTCCAGTAAAAAGGGTCTCCGGTTCTCTACACTCACCATAGAATACTACTATACTCGTATAATACACAATAGAATGGCTGTCAACCTTATTTTGTACGAGGATCGGTGTCACCGGGAGCACACATAGAAGCAATTAAGTCGTATCATACTACTACAAACCCGATTCGCTGTATTGACAGACTGAGTAAATTTAAACATTTTAGACTTTTGATTAATGTTCAAGACCATCATTAAAAAATTGTTTAAATTATAATACATATTTATTTGTAAATAGTGTGCAGTTTGGCATTTTCTAAATAATTTGCATGCGAAATTTGGAAACGATTGTAACGTCAAAACACATCTCGTGTTGACAGTTATACGTATGAATTGACATGTTAGTGACATTTTAGCGGCTACACGGGCTCCGCCCACTCCCCCGTTCTATTATGTATGTATTATAGTATTCTATGACACTCACCATACGAAACACAGTAGCATTAAGCTGCTATTTTACGCTGGTATTCTTTGAGGGCGTGGTCCTTCCCCGATCGAGCCGACCCATTCGTGCTGCACCCATAATATAGCTCGTATCTACTATGCCAAAAACTATTTTTAGATAAACCATTTAAAAAAAATGCTTATATCAAGCAATATATTCGAAACGCTGGTGAGGAACCCTATTTAAAGGTTTATTGGAATCCACGCAGTTATTCTTAGATGCCAGTTATCCTTCGGAGTTTATCGCATCTACGGATGTTCACTCGAAATGTCAAGCACGATGCGTGTGCGTATATATATATTCGTAGTATTAACTACACCACCCAACTTATCAATATCAGCAATTGTTAGGGTTCCGTAATCGAAAGAAAACGGTATAAAATCCCACTGCTTTATGGCTGCTATTTTCAAGTCGCCTGGGATATGATTCATATTTTTTTATAAAATAAGGCTTACAAACGAGCACACAGTCCACCTGATGGTAAGTGGGTCCTGTGGCCCATAGACATCTACATCTATCCTCGATTAAGAATCAAAATGCAGATGCGCCGTCACCCCTGAGGACTAAGATGCGTGCATGCATGCATGATTCGATTCAAGTAAAACGGGTGTCCGGTTCTCTACACTCACCATACGAAACACAGTAGCATTAAGCTGCTATTTTACGCTGGTATTCTGTGGAAGCGTGGTCCTTCCCCGGTCGAGCCGACCCATTCGTGCTACAACTATAATAAAGCTACAGCGTGGTTCTATCACGTAACAAATCTATGTACCTGCAGCATTTTTGTTTAAAGGCTGCATTTGTCCATGGATGTCAATACCCACGGACTTTAAGCTCGTATGTCACTTAATTAAAAAAAATTAAGTTGTGTGTGTGACAGGACCACGCTCTCACAGAATATCAGCGTCAAATAGCAGCGTAATGCTGCTGTGTTTCGTATGGTGAGTGTAGAGAACCGGAAAACCTTTTTACTGGGAACGAGACATTCCATGTTAGTCCTCAGGGGTGACAAACGCATTTGCATTTTGATCCTTTATTTATCTTCAATTAATGATGTGGATTGCTATGGGTCACGGCACCCACTCACTATCAGGTGGACTGTGTGCTCGTTTGTCACCTAATGCTATAAATAAAGATACATTGTCCATTAAGATGGTAGTCTCACCCTCACAGTCTGTAATTTTTTATTGGCTCGACCTAACCACAGCCCTCCATTACAGCAGCAGAAGTACTGCAATTTGGAAGAAGTAATAGCCAGAAAAGGGACCTACCAATCACGTTATATTTAAAGTAGTACATATAATGTTAGTAAGATTAGCATAAATCTTAAAATGTACGGAACCTCAAAAGTAAATATTAGGCTCACGCCGACGTGAAATATTCTCATTAATGGAACTTGTGCTGTTCGGTAGACATCTTGAAAGCTAAAAAAAAACCAAAACTTTTTCATTTGATTCAGCTTCGCATTAATTTAAAATGAATGTTTTATTTTTATTTTATTTATTGGGAACAACGAACAGTTATAAACAGAAAATTTTAAAAATAAACAGAGTCTTAAAATACACAACTAATTACATTTTATTGTTATTAAATCATATCAGCCGCAGTATCACTAATCATCATTTCGACCAGGGATTCCCAAACTATTTTGGGCAAGAGACCCCTTTTCCAAAATTAAACTGATACCTCAGACCCCCAAAGCCAAATTACTTTGAAAATCCTAACTCTAGTTTTTTTCCTATTGATACAAAATACTTACCAATTTGAAAACTTAGCGGTTGGTTAGGTGAGTAAAGTTGACATCATTTTATCAGTAAAATTTAACAAAATCAATAGACATAAAATTCAGTAAATATCAAGTTTAATTAATAATTATAAATATAAATTACAGTTACAAATTATCCGTTTTCGTTTATGTCGACCCCTGGGAAACCGATTCCGAACCCAAGGGGTCGATATCGACTACTTTGGCAATCCCTGATCTCGATTGTGTTGCTCGTTTGTCAACATGCTATTAAAATCAGCCCACTACCAATGATGAATCGATATTACTAATCGAACCTTAAATTCGGTGCAATGAACGATAAATATTATCGATTCCCGCAGGTTTTTCGGCGTTGCGTAAATTTATTGAAATGCGATAAAATTACCAGTTTTTGTACAAGTCAGTTGCATACCGTTATTATGGTGCGCATTCTGCAATAAGGACGTTGAACGGTGTTTTCGCCGATTCTGTGACATATTCGAAAGTTACGAAGAATTAATTATACGAGTTTATTTCCTAGAGTTCCTTTGAGTTGCCATCAGGAAGATGCTAGGGTCTATCGCCTGTTTAACTTTCCCTTTGAAGCCTCTACAAAGGGAAAGTTAAACAGGCACAAAAGTTACAGAATACAGACTAAACGTCCTACTTCTGAACGCAGTACAATAAGAGGCTGGGGCATTTCATCTTATTCCTCATCTGCCTGGTGTTCTTTGTCTGAAGTTGTTATCAGGTATCCAAGACAGTAGTCACGTGCATCAAGTTGAGTGGTTGTCGATTTTTTTTGTGGTTTAATAACTTAAAGATGTTAAGAGTTATTTCGAAACTATCCGCACAATAAAAAACTAACTAATTAAAAACTTTATATGTAAAATGGTTATTAACGCATCATTTTGACGTAAATAAACTAAAGTAGGTAGGTACTGATGAAAACTTCCATGTTCTTTATACAGTAGTGCTACTAAGAATTTTCTTCCACTTTACCAGTAAAGCCTACTTGATAAGAAAATTCCCAGTTATTTTACTTGTAAGACTATTTAGAAGGACTATCGGGGATGCAACACTCCATGAAGAGTGACTACTTTTTATATAAAGGTGAAAAACGAGCACACAGTCCACGTGAGGGTAATTGGTTGCTGTGGCCCATAGACATCTACATTTACACTCGATTAAAAATCCAAATGAACAACCATCTCTCCTCACCAAAAATACACCTATATACGCCCCACACTGGCACAGGCCTCCCCTCATTTCTGAGAGGGTTCTAGGGCAATGAAGTATCCGCCGCGCTGCCCCAATGCGTGTTGGCGAACTTCACATGTCTTCGAAATTTTTTTTCTTATTCCTCAGACATGCAGGTTTCCTCACGATGTTTTCCTTCACCGCCGAGCACGTGATAAATCAGCACTTAAAATTGCAATTAACAATTTCATTGGTGCCGGCCGGGATCGAACCCGGGTTACTCGCGTTCTGTTATATTTACAGCGAGCGTTAACCATCTGAGCTACCACGGCTCACGATACTGACTACTATATACTAGAGTGAGAGCGTGACCCTGCCCCGGTCGAGCCGACCCATTCGTGCTACAACCACAATATAGCAACGTGGTTCTACTACGTATAAAGCACGTAATATCTAAGACTACTTGGTAAAACTACTGGGAATACCCGTTTTTTCCTTCAACGCACTGGCACAGTATTATTAAACTGTACTGAATTACTTACTGTCTACTTAAACATCATATATTTGCGGATTATAACATTATTTACATATGCTAATGGAGCATCAACTAATATATAAACATGTTAGTCACGATTTTATGGACTATCGTAAAAAATTACGTCAAGATCTCGTAGCGTATTGTTTACTTATGCGCGTGCTGATATTTATGCATTTTAAATTACTATGTCTAGATCTAACATGTGTTAGAATTTATTGGTAAATAATATTTATATACTAGCTGCAAAAATAAATAAGATGTTAAGTACCAACGCAGAAGGACTCAGCAATTCGGCAAGTCTCTTACCTGAAACAATAAACATAAAAATTAATTTAAAATCTGTATTACGTTTATGCACTTTAAACATTTTTGTTGATATATTTTTTTATTTATTTTTTGTGTTTTAAGATCCACGTTTTTTTCTACTTCCGTGACTAATGCCTTTATTGGTAGTTGGATATTTTTTAATATTTTGTTTTATTCTCATCTTCTTATCATATTATTGTTGTCTTTTTATAGTACCTTATTTTATTCGTTAGTTTCCCGTTTTCTAATTTTGTAGATTCTGATAATATATTAACTACTTGAAAGTCCACATTATGCAGTAATTGTCACGCTGGGTAGATGGATTGACGACCGAAGTACCTGACGCTACTTCCTGTCGCCGGTCTGAGTGTTCTGCACCCGGCTAGATGAGATGGCACACAACACCGGGACGAAGTAGTGATGGGTTCTCTACTTCATTCCGTGAGCCGCCACGACGCGGCAATTTCTTTTCTAGTCGCCCTCTATGTGCTTAGACTAGTTTTCCTGGCTGAGATTCAAAACAAGCTCCCGAATCATTTATTAGGTATTCTTACCACGAAGCCACAATGTAATGGCCAAGAGAAAATTTATATTAAATTAGTGCAGAAGTACATATACGCGGAATATTTGTTATAAAACAACAGCAATTAAATACCTTGAACAATACATTCACCAAGTTTACAACATATTGTAAACACAGAATAATATGATAGTAACTGCGTTAGTACAGATTACAAATGATTTATACAACTAATCATGCTCGAAAACCATTTACAGCGTAATTTAAAAAACAAAACAATTTATTAAATTGCTGGCAGTAAATTCAAGTACGTGACTTGATTGATATAATTAAAAATAAAATTACAGAGTAGGTATAAAAAAAAAACAATTCGGACTTTGATAAAAAAGGCGGGAACATTGTTTCTGCGATTTTTTTAAATATCAAACAAATTTAAGGATTTGGGAAGATTCCTCTCTTACTAAGGGCTTTTATAGTAAGTAAGTACCTACATAATACTTAAAAAAATAACATTAACACATTCAAAAGGCAAATACATTGTCACCAGTGAGGCTAGATGGAATGACACGTGACCAGTAAAAAGTTTCCCTGTGTTTCACTAACCATACGAAAACAGCACTATTAAGCTGCTATTTAACGATGGCATTTTGTAAAAGCGTGGCCCTTTCCCGGTCGAGGTGACTCATATTTGCTGCAGTTCATTCACAGAGTAGATTTTTCACGTAAGAATGAGGATTGTCGCAGTTTTTATACGTGGTAGAGCCACGCTGCAGCTATATTATGGTTATAGAACGAATGGGTCGGCTCGAGGAAGGGCCACGCTTACACAGAATACCAGCGTAAAATAAGTAGCAGCTTAATCCTGCTGAGTTTCGTATGGTGGGTATAGAGATCCGGAGGCTCTTTTTTACTGGAAACGATGCATTCTATCTTAGTCCTCTTAGAAAATGGGGAAAAAATTGCAAATTCTACATTTGCAATTTTCTTTTCCCGTTATTAAGTTAAAAAAGCGAAATGTAAGAGGACCCAAAGACTCGACAGATGGTTAAAGTTTAGGTTCGTTAGTTTATTACAAACACAAGCAGATCAGGCCTCACATGCAGCATCTGCTACCAGCAATAGTAACAATAATATATTAGTAATAATGTTATCCAAATCGAATTTCGGTCACGGCGGCCAGCCTCAACGAAGACTGCGCAGGACGATGTACTATCAGTAGTAATCCGGTACGACCGGACCGGAGAGAGATCAGGCGCAATACCAATGGCTTTACGTCCTTTCCGATAAACAGGGATAAATCACCGCGAACCACCTGATTTCGGGCTACCGGGAATTTCTAGACAAAAAAAGCTCAATAACTGATTTTAGCTCAACCCGAGATTCGAACTCGACCACTAGACCAACGAGGTAGTCAACTACCACAGATATGACACACGACAGTCAACGCCCATTTACCGCCTTTAAAACGAACAAAACCGCAATCCAATCTACAAGATCCCAATTCCAGCCCTTCCCCTCATTGAAATAAGGTCTGTTCAATACGACGCCTTGACCCATAAGGCATTTCTATAAGTTTCCACATTACTCTTGTCTCCGCGACTTCGATATGACCGACCTTGGCCAGTGAATGTGAGAGGCAATTATGTAAATCAACACCGATACGCTCCAGTTAAGCCGTACTGACGAATGACCAGTCGAGTCACAGCACGGACTACATGGACGGACCCAGTAGGGCTCAGGGTTCCTTCGTTCGAGATAAAGGAAAATCTAACCTTGCAGGTTGCTACCACTTACTAACAGATAAAGCGACGGTAGATTAACGGCACGGCAAGCATTTTAAAAAATCGTAAATTCTCATTCGCATTTCAACTACTGTCATGAAGCAGAATACCACCGTTAAACGGCAGCTTAATGCTGCTGTGTTTCGTATGGTGAGTGTAGAGAACTGCTGTAGTTCATAGACATATACATTTATTCAAAATTCATAAGCGTTGTCACCCCTGAGGACTAAGATGGAATGCCTCGTATCCAGTAAAAAGTGTCCCGGTTCACTCACCGTACGAAACACAAAAGCCTTAAACTGCTATTTAACGCTGGTATTCTGTGAGAGCGTGCTCCTTCCCCGGTCGAGCCGACCCATTCATGCTACAACCATAATATAGCTGCAGCGTGGCGCATGTGTAAATGAAATTTCTAATGACTTTAATTATTCCCTTCTTCATCAGGTATCAACTGGAGATCACGTCACATGCTTCAGCCAAACAGCTTAGGAGGAGATAGAAGTGTGGCAGAAGCACTATCAAAGCTCATCCTCAAATACCAGGTAATCAAAATAGTATTACAAAATAGTGTAAAACATAATCGCTTTTCTTTGTCTGTCTGTTCGCTGATAACTTTAAAACTATTCTACAGATTCTTAAAAAAATTAATGTTTTCTGGTAAAAGTGTCAAGCTCACTTACGGCGCTCGGAAATAGGCCTTCTCTTATCAGATACGAGGGTTTAAGTATATGATTCCTAGCCAACCGTGGCCCGAATGTAAAAAAAGTTGGCACGTGCAAACAGCCGAAATTAAAAGTTCGGTACCTAGGGAGTGAGACGTAAGTTGGCCCAGATACCTATAATCCACAGTCGAACACAGGCCTCCATTTCATTTCTGAGAGTTTAAGACGAGCACAGGTTTCGTCTCATTTCTAAGGCGGTTTTAGACAAGCAAAAATTCGCCGCGTTAGCGATTCGTATTGGCGGACCTCACATAGTCTTGAATTTTAATGTCTCGAAAATCAATTCCCTAAGCATTTTTTTTTTATAGAAGAGGGGGCAAACGAGCATGCGGCTCACCTGATTGTAAGTGACTACCGCCGCCCATGATCAACCGCAACACCAGGAGAATTGCAGGTGCGTTGCCGGCCTTTTAGAAAGGAGTAAGTTCTTTTCTTGAAGGTCCCTAAATCGTATCGGTCCAAAAAAAAATCGCCGATGGTAAACAATTTCACAGAGAAGTTGTATGAGGAAGAAAACTCCTAGTAAAACGCACAGTGGTGGACCGCAAAGCATCCAGATGGTGAGGATGGTATCGTGAATTTTGATGCAATGTGCGTCAGTGAAATTTGGCGGCTGGAACTAATCCGAACAATTCCTCAGAACACTCCCCGTAGTAGATGCGATAGAAAACGCAAAGAGATTCAATATCCCTACGCAGCGCCTATGAATCGAGCCGATCAGAAAGCACTCGGTCGAACCATGTTTTCCTTCACCGCCGAGCACTTAGTAAATCCGTGGTGCAGGTGGAAATCGAACTTAGGCAAGCATTAGGGGTGTGCCCTATGACCGTGTAGCGACGATGTAAGAATATTCACTACTCCATTAACCCGTGGGTATCGTAAAAGACGACAGAGGGATAGGGGAAGGTGGACGGAATCGTCGTCTTGATAACAAATCAAAATTTTAAAATATGCCGGTGGCTAATCCACTTGCTAAGCTTGACAACGATGACATAATCTCCTCTATGATGAGGAGGACTTTTGGCAAGTTTTGTTGTGGTTATGAATAAACCATTTCATTTTTTGATATTCGAACCTAGGACCGCGTGAAGTCAAATACTGACACAAAGCTACACATACTATTATACTCGTACATTTCATTAATATAAAGCGTGACTAAAGTACTATTAACATGAGGTTTTCAACCTTAAACATTCCGTCGGTAAGCAATGACATCAAGTCGTGATCGACCCAACAATGATATCACAAAGCGTGGACAATCGTAACAAACAAAACGAACCGTCGACATTGTGTTAATTAAATTTAACGCATCATTTTATAATGAGACAGAAATAATTCGGCTGACAGTGTCGTACAATACGAAATACATTGAAAGATGTACTATATCATACATTTTATATACGTGTTATACCATGCTGCAGTTATATTCGTAGTATAGTTGTAGCACGAGTCGGTCGGCGCGACCGGGGAAGGACCACGCTCTCACAGAATAACAGCGTCAAATAGTAGCCTAATGCTGCTAAAAGCCTTACTTCCCAACATACGTATTTATTTAATCTAACAATATTTTTATGGCAAGGAAATCTGGAAGATAATTTACTTATCAAAATTCTCAATTAGTGTATTACTATACGTTCTATGTACTATGTATTATAGTATTCTGTTTCATATGGTGAGTGTAGAGAACTGGAGACCTTTTTTACTGGAAACATCTTACAAATTACAATAACAAATCTTAGTCCTCACGGGTGACAACGCGTCTGCATTTTGATTTGTAATCGAGAATAATATCAATCTATTCATTTGAAACATAAAAGATTTTTAACATTGATATGGTCACCGTAAAATGTTGTTAGGTTAGCTAATTACGTAATAACTTAAAACAGAGGGACCCTTAAGTAGGGACTGAATAAGTTAACCGACTTGGTATTACATGGATCTCACAACTATTTACGATAGAGGAACTGAATTGCGAGACTTTTCGCGAGGGGTTTTTTTACAAGTAATGTTTTAATGGCATACATATTTTCTTTAGCGTACAGTTTCTTTTCGAACAGTTAAACTACAAAAGTTCAAATATGAATTTGTAGTCGTAAAGCGGTAATATATTTATCATAATTAAAGTTGGATCAAAAGTCTCCCCATTAAATCAAATAAAATAATGCATTTTCAATTTACGGTATTATCAATTTCCAATATAATAAAATGGTAGTCACTTTACATTACGGCTTATGTTTTACGAGCTGTGGTAGCTTATAGAAGGGCTGTATAGAATACCTAATGTACTACAAAGTGAATATATTTTTTGATGTCGACGAAGTTAACGAATAGGCCAGCCGAATTGATCATAATACTGCTAAAATATAGTAATAGGATAATAAAAAAATCGATTATCAACTCCAAGCAATATCGAATATTGATATACTAGATTTGAAGCCAATTTTAGAATTCATACCTTTTTTTATAGAGTAAGGGTGACAAACGAGCACACAGTCCACCTGATGGTAAGTGGATGCTGTGGCCCATAAACATCTACATTTATCCTCGATTAAGAATCAAAACGCAGATGCGTTGTCACTAGTTGGGCCGATTAGCCGCCGACTAATCGGTGAAGCCGATTAATCGGCCTATTTGTAGTCACCGATTAGTCGGCGATTAATTTACCGATTAATCGGCTTTTTATTTTATTAACTTCAGCAAAGGTTTTTCGTGATTTTCTGCATGGTAGCTGCGGCTACATTGATATGAGTAAAGCTTTAAATTTAAGAAAAGTATAGCTTTTCTCTCCTATGCGTAAACTCATAGGAGACTCATAGGAGATTTATATGTAGGTAAATCAAATAAATAATAAAATAAGTAGGTTCATACATAACTTTTATTGAAAAATCAGTCTCACATGTTTTAATGTTAATTATTCTGGACATAGGAACTTTGGTTAAAAAAAAGAATCTGATGTAGTTATAAATAGCTACATCAGATTCTTTTTTTTAAGTAGGTACTTAGGTTTTTGTTTAGTTTTAAAAAACTAAACAAAAACCCAAGTACCTACTTACTATTTTAATTCTACCTTTAAAATTTTTCTAATCATAATGCAGAGTAGTGACACAACAAAATAAAATTTTAATAATATTATTCTTAGTAAACTTTAAAAAAAAAAACAAATTTTAAGTCTCTCCCTTTGCATAACAAAAAAAAACTTAATTCTTGAATAAAGTTTGTTAAACTACACGCATATAGATTTTTAAAAGACAAATAGAACATACTTGTTTCTGTACTTAAACTAAATTGTTACTGTTTTGTTCTAAAAATTAAAAAATAATAAATAAAATTGTTGTTTTTCTGTACTTAAAATTACAATAAATTGTTTTTTCCTGTAATGTTATTAAATAAAGAATCTATAATCATCTAATAATTTGTTAAAAAGAAATACTCAATTGGAAAAAGTGTTGAAGGCTTTTTAGAAAATATTTAACTTATTTTTTATTTTTAACCAGAGGTAAATAGTGATGCAAAAAGGCCAAAATCTCAGCCTTTTCTGGTTGAAGCCGATTTCTTTTGTTTCGTAGATACTAGATATTCCCAGCCTCAGAAAAAAGTCTCTCACTATACACAGAGCTGGCGGGGCAGCAATGGAAAACTTTGGCTAAACGGGACATTTCTGGATATCTGGAAGAATTTTTGTTCCACCATTTGAATTTATCATTGGATAGGGATCGGCTAATCGGACAATCGGCCAAAGTACTAATCGGCCCAACTCTAGTTGTCACCCACAAGGACTAAGATGGAATGGACGGAATCTACACTCATCGTACGAAGCAGCATTGAGCTATTATTTTACGTTAGTGTTTTGTGTCGACCGATCGACCGACCCAATCGTGCTACAACAATTATATAGCTGCGGCTTGGCTCTACCAGGTTAAATCTTATACATAGAAATTAGTGTGAATAGAACATTGATTTATTGTTTTGTGTTTAGTCGAATAAGGTCTAAGCGACTGTCGTAGTATTTTCTTCATGAATATTGTCTGACAAACAAACTTCCAGTCCATCGAATGCTCATATGTCATATTGATTACGGTAAACACTGTCTTCGCTTTATGTGATTTTTATAATCTTTGACATACGAGTTAACAGTGAACTTAGTAATAAATTAATACGTATGTACATACATACATAAATTTTGCCACAGCATCCACTTACTATCAGATGGACTGTGAGCTTCGTATGTCACACCTTTTTCTATAAAAAATAACATTGTAATAAGATTAAATAGAATCCTAACTCAAATATTTTTTTCCAAAGTATTACTTCCCAACATACGTATTTATTTAATCTAACAATATTTTTATGGCAGAGGGAAATCTGGCACAGTCATTAATTTACTTATCAAAATTATCTCAATCAGTGTATTACGTATACGTTCTATTATGTATGTATTATAGTATTCTATGTTTCGTATGGTGAGTGTAGAGAATCGGAGACCCTTTTTACTGGAAACGAGGCATTCCATCTTAGTCCTCACGGGTGACAACGCATCTGTATTTTGATGATGTCTATGTGCCACCAACTACTTACCATCAGGTGGACTGTGTGCTCGTTTGTCACTCTAACCTTTTAAAAAAATGAAAATAACATTCAGTCGACTAAAAGAACAGACATATTTAAAATCTTATTATTAAAAACATGTTTTATATCCAGGGCGTAAGAAGAGATTTGGCGAGCGACGGAACCATGCGGGCGCTCGCTTCCGCCGCGAAGCTGGTCCCATACGACAGCGCACTCTTCGTCATTACCGACCGAGGAGTAGGGGATCCGCAGAAGTTGCCGTTGGCATTGCGGGCGCTGATCGAGAAGAGGCTCAAGGTGAGACAGTATATGAATCGACCTAAAAAAATCTAAAATTTTAAACTAACTTCTATTCCACACGACGGTAAGTGTTCGTTTACGTTTTTTTTATATGTTACCCCCACTCCAGGATTTTCTAATGTATCGTGGGGGCAGTTTACATACATAAATTTCACAATAACCAACTTCTAGACCCGGATCAATTATACTAATACTAGTTCCGTGCGACGGTGCGAGATTTGAACACGTAGCCCTTAGCGCTGGTAATAATTGCAAATTTTCTGCGCCATGGAGCCATCAGAGTTTTTACACAGTGTAAGAAGTTCTTTTAGACGTGACTTTTAACTCCCCGCTAAGAAAATTGAAAATTTTCAAAAATAGGGAAGTTATTGGTTTCACCCCGATTTTCGAAAATCGAGTTTTCATCAGACCTCGACGTTTTGAGATTCCAGGAAGCTATTCTGACTAATTTCACGTGGACGTGTACGGACGTATGTATGTATGTGTGTGTGTGTGTGTGTGTGTGTGTGTATGTGTGTGTGTGTGTGTGTGTGTGTGTGTGTGTGTGTGTGAGTGTGTGTAAGTATGTAATCCTTTAATAACTTTTGAACGTCTTGATCGATTGAGATGCGGTTTGCGTCGTTCTAAAGATCTCAATGTGGAATAGATTTGGTGATAATATGAACTGATACAGACAAGTAGATTTTGAGAAATCTCAAAAATAAAAAAATTTAAAAACTGTTTTTTGGAATAACTGATGAGTGCCGTTTTGAAAATCGAAGGAGAAAGAATTTGGAAAAAAAAAAGTTTTTTTTTAACATAACTTCGAGATTTCACAACATAATTTGGTGAAATTTGGAGCGCTTTGCATTTATTATTAGCGGCAAGTTCCAGAGATGACCTGCAGAGTCAACCAATTTTTTTTTATAGAATAAGGGTGACAAACGAGATGGTAGTTTGGTAGTGGTGATAATTTTTAATCAACCTGTATAGGCTGTACGTTGGTATACTTTCATTTTAATGTCTTCTATCAGGTATACACCATATGGACGGACCCTCGCCATCCGTCAGTGGAGTCTGAAGCGGCGCTTCAAGAGTTGAGGAATATTTCCACGCACACTGAAGGGGAAGTACTGTCTTATTCTTTACAAGTGAAGGTAAGTACAGAATCATATTGTAAGCTAACATAGTATAATATTTATAATAATAATATTTGATTTCAAGCAAAGAATATCTTAATTTCTAGGATACAAACACTTTAAGATACAACTTAACAATAAATACAATTCAGTGAACATCTGTGTCTGAACCAGATAACTTAGATAACATCTGTGTTTCCGTTCTTATTCTATTATTTATTATACGAAACAGCATTGAGCAGAACATTTCACTGTACACAAAACAGATTACTTACCAATTAGTAATCTTAAGACAAAATATGTGTATGTGTGAATATAGTGTTGCGGAGTTATTTATTATAATAATATTTCTTATTTAAGAATTCTACGGTTGGCAACTCGTCTGCCAAGAGTGGCGATTATGGCAATATCCTTTAGGCACTCTATGGGGGAGGCCTATGTTCAGCAGTGGACAGTTACATAGGCTGTTATGGAAATATTGACGGATAGATATAATTTAAATTGAACATTATTTTGAGAGATAAGACGAATATTTGATATTTAGTACCTGGACGACAGAGCTTTGCTAGGCATTAAAAAATATTTAATCAGGTCATGACAAAATGAATAGTTTCATAATAACCTGTTATATATTATATAACATATTTATATATTTACACTACTGTTTATAACACCTTAATTATGTAGATAAACTTTATTAGCTACAAAACCATAATAAAGAATAACAAAAGGCAGACTTAATGCCTACGAAAACATATATTATTTTTTAATAAAGTATAAAATAGGTTTAGTTGTATATCGATACAACCAGTGGTTTTCTGTAAAAATACTATAATCAGAGCAAACAAAACATTTTACAAGTCTTTGATAATTTATTTTTGAGGACGTGAGGGCTAGAATTTTTTTTTATTGAATACGAGTGACCAACGAGCACACAGTCCACCTGATGATAAGTGGATGCTGTGGCCAATAGTACATCTATCCTCGATTACGAATCAAAATGCAGATGCGTTGTCATCCCTAAGGACCAACACGGGATACCTTGTTTTCAGTAAAAAGGGTCTCCCGTTCTCTACACTCACCATACAAAACACAGCAGCGTTGAGCTGCTATTACACGTTGGCATTCTGTGAGAGCGTGGTCCTTCCCCGGTCGAGCCGACCCACTCGTGCTACAACTATACTACTAATATAGCTGCAGCACGACTCTACCATATAAGAATACTTAACAATAAAAAATAAATTCTGACTAATAAAGGAATCTGTCACTCTTTCCTCAGTCATTCTTAACATTTATTCATTCTTCTTGAATCACAACTACCATGTAATTGTTGCAGGACATGGAGAATAGTCTACCATCAGAAACGGAATTACAACAGTGGGAGCCTCTAGCGGAGCCTTTATTATCACCAAGACGTGCGAGGATGCGGCATATAGAAGACGGTTTTGATGTAAGTACAAGTGCTACAATACCGAGATAGCAAGCTACCTTATTAACTCTTAAATTATTATTATTATGATGATGATGATGATGATTACATGCCATGTGTTAGCGACGAAGGAGAATCTGTCACCCTTATTCATCCTGTAGGTGCCTTAAGAGGTGATAAATCTCATGGCTCCCGATGGATGACTGTATAACAGACGTAAAATACCCATACCATCCATATCAATAACTTAATCGTGTGGCAAATAGTTGAAGGTATGATAGGGACACCTGTGAGATAAAAGCTTCAAAGTCAACGCAAAGAGATGTTGCATCTCGTTGCATATTTTATCGAATCTACCACGGGGAATGCTCTGAGGAATTGTTCGGACTTATTCTGGCCGCTCTATTTCACCATCGCACATCGCGACAAAACTCGCGATACCATCCATACCATCTGGATGATTGCCAGTCCACTACAGTGCGATTTACAAGAAGTTTTCTCCTTCGCACAACTTCCTTGTGGAATCGACTACCACTAGTGATTTTTCCGGACCGATACGACTCAGGGAGCTTCAAGAAAAGAGCCCATTTTTTTTTAAAGACCGGCAACGTATCTGCAATTCCCCTGATGTTGCGGATGTTCATGGCGGCGGCAGTCACTTACCATCACGTGAGCCGCATGCTCCATAAAAAAAGTCAAAGTCAAAATTTTTATTAATTTTTTTTTAAAGCTCTTGTAACGATCAGAATCTACAACGGTTCAGAAAACAATACCTACCTTCTCGGGAAAGAACCGAAAAGAAACTAAGCCGTGTTACAATTTCATGCACAATAATTACAACTTATATTATAAAAACAAAGGTCTATTAATATTATTAATATCTCAGTTTTAATGAAAAACAATATTAATTTAACGGAAATCCGTAACCAGAGAACTTACAAGAGTAAAGCCCGGTTTACATTTAGAGAAGTGACAAGCGCGAGCGGCAAGTGCAACTGACAAATGACAAATGTTTAGTACGTGTGAACAAACAGTAAACAAGTGAAAAGTAAAGTATACACCTATATACGTCCCACTGCTGGGCTCAGGCCTCCCTTCATTTCTGAGAGGGTTTAGGGCAAGGAAGTGTCCGCCGCGCTGCCCAAATGCGTGTTGACGAACTTCACATGTCTGCGAAATATTTTTTTCTTATTCCTCAGACATGCAGGTTTCCTCACGATGTTTTCTTTCACCGCCGAGCAAGTGGTAAATCAGCACTTAAAATTGCAATTAACAATTTCATTGGTGCCGGCGGGGATCGAACCCGGGTTATTCGCGTTCTGTTATATTTACAGCGAGCGTTAACCACTGAGCTACCAAGGCTCTGAACAAACAGTGACAAGTGATAATTAAATATACACTAAGCTAATTGATATAAGCAGGCGTTACTTTGCGAAAATCCGTTATAGTAAAGATATTATTAGTTACTTTGCAACCATCCGCTCAATAAAATGATGTGTCTTACCTAGTTTGAAGAACACCTCCCGCCCTCCTTTAATTGCGTGCACTAATCCCGTCAACACTAATCCCAGCATCACTACTCCCAACACCACTACTCCCAACACCACTACTCCCAAACCAACCACCCCCACCCTCCCAGCACCACTACTCCCAACACCACTACTATTCCACTATTCCAGGAAAGACACACCATCGACGATAATACGACACACGTTTCGCCTCTACATGAGGCATCTTCAGGTGACGTAGACTCTACGGCGGCTGACCGCTAAGTACCGCTTATTATTATTATCGTTCGTCGTATTATCGTCGACGGTGTGTCTTTCCTACAATAGTGGTGTTGGGAGTAGTCGTGTGTTGGGAGTAGTGGTGCTGGGAGTACTGGTGCTGGGATTAGTGTTGACGGGATTAGTGCACGCAATTGAGGGAGGGCGGTAGGTGCTCTTCAAACTAGATAAGACACATCATTTTAGTTAATTGAGCGGATGGTTGCAAAGTATCTATTAATATCTTTATAATACACTAAGCATTTGTCATTTGTCAGTTGCACTTGCCGCTCGCACTTGTCACTTCTCAAAATGTAAACCGGGCCTAAGAGTCATTTCTACATCACTGTTCTTAATGCATTAATCTATTTTATAGAAGGCTTTAATAATAAAATTAATAAAGAGGAAAATTTCTTTAGTCTTTGAATTTAAAGTATGTTTTTACTTTTTACACGTCGTACGTATGCATATACTTCGTGGTAGAGCCACAGCGCACGCTGCAGCTATATTTATAGCTTTGTATTTCAGACACTGCTAGTATGGAGGGGTGGCGGAGAAGCGATTTCTCTCGGGATCCCTGTGGAGGCTGGGGTCGCCGCATTGAGAGTGCTCATCGAGGGCGCTGTGGATCACGCCGCGCTGTTCCCACCAAACGACGGTACTTAGAAATTTATTATCACGTTGATGTTTCTCTCACAGATACTAAACTTCAAACCATGAGTCTGGATTAGGATAACCGAAAGAAATTCCAGAAAAAGATGATTCTGTATATAGTGGGCAGTTATTTCTTTTGCAACTTCAGTTTTAAAGTTTTAAAAAAAAGTTGTAATCTGTGAGAGTTTTCTATTGCTTTCCAAGAAGAGGCGGCGACGCACATGAAATTCCTCTAGTGTTGCGGATGTTCATCGGCAGCGGTAGCCATTTAACATAAGGTGAACCGTTCGCTCGTTTGCCCCCTCTTCTATATAAAAAAAAAACAAATACTAGTAACGCCATTAACGATATAAATATTTCCATTAACTACTCGAAATAAGCTTCAAATTATTGGGTTAGAAGTAGCTCTTATAAATATATGGAATGAGGGTGCAAAACGAGTATACGTTTAGTAAATTCAGAATCAAATGCATCTGCATTTTGATTCTGAATTTTCTTAATCGACGATTGAGATAGATGTCTATGGGCCACAACTTCCACTTCAGAAGATGGACACTGTGCTCGTTTGGCACTCGTATTCAATAAAAAATAGATTTAATATAAAGCCACATTTTCATATTTATACAATAACAACGCCGTTGTCGAAATGAAATCAAAAAAAAATATCACTCTATTATTCTTATTATTAACCAATTGTAGCGACATTACGTGATCAAAACATACAATGGACATTAAAAAAATTTAAACGTCAACCGCAAGATCGCTGAAAATAATAACAATGAGCAAAACAAACAAACAATCGAATAAGCACTTCAATAATCGCCAACGGGAAACATTACCGTGCGTAATAAACCAAGAAGTTAGGGTTACCAATACTACATTTTTTCTTTCGTTATGAACTCGTATATAAGCGTCAAGTAATAAAAAAATATCAAAGATGTATGACCACTTTCCATACATTGATTGGCCTGTCACTTGATTCGTTATACAGGTCGCGTCTACCTATAACTACTGATGCATAAAATCAGTTATTGTTTATAATAACATAATAACTTACCTTTTTATTTAGAGGCCAGGGAAAAATGCTATAAAGGAAATAATTTTTTCAGGTATAACCTGTCAACTTTACAATAAGGTATACTATGGTGTGGAAAGAAAAATAACTTTCCACAACATAGTATAAAACCACAAAAATCATAATATATATATATATAATAGAATAACTATATGACACATTAATAAGATTTTCGTAGTCTGTGAAACAAAATGTGTAAAACAAGTTTTTTTGAAATATATATTGGCATGGATTCAAGGCTTTTAAGTCATTGTAAAACGCGTTCCGTCTCCAAAAGTCTATTGAGAATGATAAACATAGTAAGGTTACTTGTTTTCCTGGCTTTATTGGAAAATTCAATAATGCAATACAAAATAAAGGCAATTTTATAAGATATTTTTTACATCACTAGACGCGTTAGAAAATTTTCGTCGTTCGTTAGTTCTTTATTAAGCGACACGTCGCGAAGTGTTTAGGAGATTTTAACGACAACTCAACCCTGCGTACTAGTAGTCTAGTAAAAATTTTAACACCTATAAAAATTGACAACCCTACACGCAAGGTCCACGGCAAATCGTTATGAACATAACTACGAACAATTTGTCCCCATGTCCGTCAGTACATCAAGTGTATTCACATTGTTCTCGAGATATTTCATGGCAAATGATAGGAGATGATTTGGTCGCGTTAGTGCGTGTCGGATCACGAAGGTCGATTTGTCATTGTGTGAAACTTTAGCTCAGCAGATCAGCCTAGATAAATACTTAGTCAAAATATTACAAGTCTTTATATTTATAATTTGTTGGTGATTTTTTTGAAAGCAAAACAATAAGCGTGAAAAATGAGAACACAGTCCACCTGATGGTAAGTGTATGCTGCGGCCCATAGACACCTACATCTATCCTCGAATAAGAATCAAAATGCAGATGCGTTGATACCCTTGAGGGTTAAGATGGAATGCCTCGTATCCAGTAAAAAGGTTCTCCAGTTCTCTACACTCACCATACGAAACAGCAGCTTTGAGGTGCTCCTTTACGCTGGTATTCTGTGAGAGCATGGTCCTACCCCGGTCGAGCCGAACCTTTCGTGCTACAACCACAACTCAGCTGCAACACGGCTCTACCTCTGTTTTTTTTTTTTAGGGGACACCCCCCCACCCACCCCCCCTAGAACCCCTCCCTCCCCACCCCCCCCCCCCCCCACACACCGCACCCAACGAAACACAACAAACCCGCCCCCCCCCCCCCCCCCCTCGCGCGAGAGAGCGGAGCGCCCGCCCCCGCCCCCGCCCCCCTCCACGCAGCGCGCCTCCCCTCCTTCTGTTCTGTTAGTGATCGTGTAATTCCTGAACGACTCAATCGATTGAGGTCATAGTCACACAATATATTTGTTTTGTGGAAACGATGTTTCATAGCTACGTTAAGACCCGATGGGCGCAGTAGTCAAGATATTAACAAATTCTATATTTATGGAGCTTTACTCATGCTCACAATATTGTTTTCACACAACGCTTTCAATATGGCTCACGGAATACCAACGTAAAATAGCATTAGTATAATGAGCGTAGAGAATCAGAGACCTTTTTTTACTGGAAATAAGGCATTCCATCTTAGTCCTCAGGATACAGCTCGATCGATTGTTACTATTATCGGTGACTGCCGCGGTAAAGCTATTACATAGCATTTTTTATCAACTTATGCAATTATAATTATTTATTTATTTTATATATGCAGTTAAGTCTTTGATATTAAATCAAGTTACACTTTTTGAGCGTGGTGACCGATAAGAAAACAATTTTTTTTCTCTTATTGAATAAATGAGAAGTTAATATTGTTTAAAATATTTTTAATATCTTACAATACATGTAGGTTATTCAGGAATTTATATCATTGAGTTAGCAGCTAGTGTACACGCATACGTCTAGTCACACCCACACAAACACCGTGCCGAAGTCTGCCGAGTGCCAAAGTCTGCCGAACTGAAACGACGTTAGACGATGCATGGCTTTCAACGCCACACCTCCGTGCCCGTCGGAGTGGGGATCGTGAGGTTTTTTTCGTTACGAAATTTCTGGATTCGGTCCCCACGCTCAAGGCCCGCGATAGAAGCTATGCAATAGCTTAAAAGAAAATAATTATCTTCTGGAACTGCTGGGTGACGCTGGAGTCGATTAATCATTAACTTTTGTACACAGTAAAAGGTCCGGGTTGAAACTCATCAAGCCCCCTAACGGAAATCGTAAAACAACTTCTGCCGCGTCAGCTAGTAAAGTATAGATGAGGATGTAAGCGTGACGTATCAACATCTTCAAACTCTTAACCTCTTTACGCCATACTAGTTTAGCTTACACGTGGTAGAACAACGGTGCAGTCTAATATGGCTGCGGCATGAATAGTTCAGTCCCTTGAACGATTTAACCAATTCGTTCAAGGTTAATCCGAACAAGGAAGAACCACGTACGCACAGAAAACTAAAGTCAAATAGCACCATAATACGGCAAGTGATGAGAACCGGGATCTTTTAAATTTTTAATAAAACTGAATTAACAAACGAAAGGTGTCAACTACATCCAATGGATACCTGCATCATCACCTCTGAAAACTAAGATGAAATGCCTCACAGTTTGTAATGGTACTGGTCTGCAGCAATTGCTTGCCATTGTACTGCCTGGCAGCCTGTAATTACTACTGGCCTGCAGAAGTTCAGGCACTACTGCTTGGCGGCATTAATAAGTAACAAGCAGACCACCTATCCAGGCAGACTCCTAAAAAGGAAAGGAAGTCTATCATCAACTCCACCTATTACCTGGTCACCGTGCTAGTTGGTAACCCTTGCTTCTACGAAAAATGAATATAAAAGTTTCTAACTCCTACCATTACAACACGCAGTGCACCCATATAACTAAGCAACTACTTAAGCTCGAACCTATGTGTAACCCTCTCACTGGGTTTACCTATATGAGTAACCCTCTTTCGGGTAAGAAACAAACACACAGTTCACCTTATGGTAAGTGGTTGCTGTGGCCCATAGGCATCTACATCCGTCCTCAAATACGAATCAAAAAGCAATGCCTCGTTTCCAGGAAAAATGAGTCTCCGGTTTTGTACACTCACCATACGAAACACTGCAGCGTTAAGCTGCTAGTACGCTGGTATTCTGTGAGAGCGTGGTCCTTCCCCGGATGAACCGACCTATTCGTGCTACAGCTATACTACTAACAGCAGTAGCATGGCTCTAACGTGTATAAAAATGGAAAGAAAGTATAGATATCCATTCATTAATTTCAGCCTATCAAAAGTTTAATTAAAAAGCACTATCTCATCGAGGAAAGATATTTAATATACCAGCCACAATTAGCAGATGGACCGCGAGGTTTTATTATTTTGAGCTTTAGCTTCAGCTTAGCAGGAAGATGTGGCGGTTCATCTTCTGTGTCTTTGAAAAATTAGTTAAGTTTTCTTACGACATCCACGGAATATGGAGTAGTAAATTTTTTTCACCACCACTATCCGGTGTTAATAAATTAATTTCAATACGTATATCTAATTTGTGTATTAGCTGTTGTTTACAATAGATCAATGCAATGTTCTTTGTTTTGATAACAAATTTGTAATCCTGACACTGTACTTCTATTCCAATCAAAACTACTCTCTAACTAACATCATAGATTCTAAGCCCAGTAGTATGATTTCAGCACCTCAAGTGGATTTATACAATACCACGTCGGTGCAGGAGTTTTCTCCAGGTTCGAGGATCGACAGTTGGTCACCAAGAGACGTATACTTGGCCTTCCCAGGAGCTTCGGATATTGATATGTAAGTTTTCTAAGTGACATTTTATATTCAGTAGGAATTTTTTTTTGTCTTATAGTCTATCTGGGTTTATACACCCTCTTACTTAATTTTGACTCTAATCAGTAGTATAACTAGCGGCATGTAAGTCTAGCGGTGACCGTATGCGAGTATCTGGGAGTGGCAAGCGAGTCGCAGGGCGACCGTGCGTATCGTTCGCACGCGCGGTTATTGGCTGCTGCTACTTGCGTACGGCTACGACTAATTGGCGTACTGATACGACATGCGCAGCGATCCCCGCCACGTTTCGGTCAGCGCTAGACGTACGTGCCGCGACTTGTACATTCAATATTATATTCCTCTTTGAAGGGTTTGGAAAGTCGTCATACTACAAACTGTAAGACTAAACATCAATCAAGGAATCACCTAAATCACAGCGCACTCATTTACTTCTTTCTTATAAGTCGTTTGCAGGTATTCACGGGTTGCAGCTATTTTGAATTAGGTGGTTTATAAACTTGTTTCTCACTAAAACGTATTGAAAAATATATTTTAAAATACGTGTGACAAAGGCAACGTTATTTTTCTAACGCAGGCTTTCAGTCGTGCCGGCGACGCCGCCCGACACGGAAGTATCCACCGGCTTTGTAGGCGTGTGGCACCTCAGCGTGCGTTGCGACAGTTGTGACTATAGACTGACGGTTTTCGCACACACCCTTATACACTTCCAAGCTGAAGCGGATAAAGGTAAGAGAAAATTGTATATTAAAAATTCTAATAGAGAGACTAATTTTAATCCACTCGACAATTACACAAGTGGTAAAATTTTGTACACTCAACTTCGATATAAATAAAATGAGAACATCATCAATGTATTCTAATCAAATTAATTTATATGGGACCACATGAGAAGCACCAGCTTTCAAATAAAAAAAAACCATTAAAATCGGTTCACCTCGAAAAAAGTTCTGAGGTAAAAGACTAAAAAAATTCAGTCGAATTGAGAACCTGCTCCTTTTGTTGAAGTCAGTTGAAAAGAAATCGGAAACAAAAGAAAACCAGATTGAATTAAACTAACTTAGGCATACATTACACGCTCATGCAGACGTCAGTAAAAGTTAAAGTAAAGTTACAGCCTATATACGTCCCACTGCTGAGCACAGGTCTCCCCTCATTTATGAGAGGGTTTTAGAACGGGGAAGTGTCCACCGCGCTGCCCCAATGCGTGTTGGCGAACCTCACATGTCTTGTTTTTATCTTATTCCTCAGACATGCAGGTTTCCTCACTATGTTTTCCTTCACCGCCGAGTACGTGGTAAATCAGCACTTAAAATTGCAATTAACAATTTCATTGGTGCCGGCGGGGATGGACCCCGGGTTACTCGCGTTCTGTTATATTACAGCGAGCGTTAACCATCTGAGCTACCACGGCTCTTGGGCGTCAGTCAATTCCATCTATTATGATTGATAAAAAACGGATGGTGACTGATAGGCGTAAATTACACTCTAATGCAGGCGTCAGTCAACTCCATCAATCATGATTGATAAAAAACGGATGGTAATTGGTAGACGAATATTACGCGCTCATGCAGGCGTCAATCACTGCATTACACGGTAGGTTATTCGTCAATCACAACCGTGATTGTTGTAAAACTGACAGCCTGCTAGAGCGTATAATGTACGCCTTATTCGTTTTATATTTCAACTTATTTTACATTCTCAATATTTTAAGTACCTACTTCGCGGGTAATTTTCATGGGTAGAATATATTTGACATCATTACGTCATAGTTAATCCTGGGATGACTTTAGCTTTTAATTAATAATTTTGGTCCGGTCTACGCAAAATCAACTCACTGTAACTCCGTTTTGAAAGGATATGGATTAAATTTGTTTAATTACAAGATCCCATTTCATCCCGTAGGTGTCGTAAGAGGCGACAGAGGTAAACAAATCAGGAGATGAGTAGCAGCATCTTCCCAATAACGACTAAAAATGGGAGACGACTATGTTCAGCCGTGGGCTATAATAAGCTGTAATGGTAACGGTAACAGTATCCCAAACAGTTAGTAGCACCGGACACATTTTCTACAGAATTTAGGATGTGTTTGATTTCAAAAGCATTGTCAATCAAATCGGTGTTCTTTAGTGAGGATTCGTGGTCTATTAAAACTGACTTCATTGCGAGGGACGATGAATATGGTCACAGACCGCAGAGTTTATTCAATATAAAATTCTTTTAACCTCGTTATAAAAAGAAAATCCTATCTTACTACACCCTTAACTGTGACTACGTTTCTTTTTACGTATACTTGCTTTTTTTATAGCATTGGGTGACAAACGAGCACACAGTCCACCTGATAGTAAAAGGATGCTGTGGCCTATATACATCCACATATATCTTCAAGTAAGGATCAAATTCAAATGCAAATGCGTTGTCACCCTTGAGGACTAAGATGGAATGCCTCCATTCCAGTAAAAGCAGTCTCCGGTTCTCTACACTTACCATACGAAACACAGCAGCATTAAGCTGCTATTTTACACAGGCATTTTCTAAGGGCGTTGTCCTACCCCGTTCATGTCGACCCATTCGTGCTACAACCATAATATAGCTGTAGCGTGGCTCTACAACGTAAAACCACGTACTCCTTATATTTAAAAAAAAACTATCAGCAATTTACACTCGCCAACAAAGCCCTCCACCATAGATTGCCTTATAGGGAGGATTTTACCATAGTTGCTACGCTTGTCAAGCGGGTTGGCAACCGTAGTTTTTAATTAAGTTGTTATCAGGAAAATGCTGCTACCTATCTCCTCTTTCAGATTCACTCTGTCGTCTCTTACACTTCCAAGATTTTAAATATACATTTAAAAAATAGTAACTAAATGCCTTTGACAACGGCAGATATCTCGCATAGTAAACACATCAGGTTAAAAACACACCCACACGTCCGTCATTCGAAAAACTTACCAGACATTCAGGCATCGGTGCGGCGCAACGGGACCTGAGTTTCGACGGCAAAAAATTGATTTCAAGTTCAACACACTAACACGCCAGAGGCTATTATTAGCGACTTTGTAATTCCACCAGCTCACACATTAAATGTTATGTCACTTTTAATTTGCATAGTAAGTCAATCTGTTAAATGTTCGATTAACTTAAAACTTACTGGTTCAAAAATTCAATTCAACAATTCAAAAACAACAACATTTTATTTTCTGGATGGACCCCAAGGTACAAATAATTTTCATACAATAAAACTTTAGAATACTAAATTTAATGTATGAGGTAAAATGGGTCTTTCTAAGTCATGCCGCGTCAAATCTATATTTTCTAGCTTTTATTAAACCTAAATAAAATTTTATTATTGATAGTACTTTGAAATATACACGGTAGTATTAGAACATTTTCGTTCTAAGGATTTCACGACATCGTCTATTATTTAAATTAGTGTTTGGAGACCACCTTCATTTAGAACGCTCCAAGTCTACTTACAATGAAGACATGCTTACGATTCTTCTTTACATATCTTCCTTACTATAACTTTATATGTAACGTTACTTTGGTTTAATAAACAAACACGTAATCTAAATACTCTTCGATTATTTACTAATATTAGTACTTGGGTTCGAATCCCGACTGCACCGTTCTTATACGTGGTAGAGCCACGCTGCAGCTATATTATGGTTGTAGCACGAATGGTTAGGCTCAACCGGGGAAGGACCACGCTCTCACAGAATACCAGCGAAGTAGTAGCAGCTTAACACTGTTGTGTTTCGTATGGTGAGTGTAGAGAATTCGGAGACCCTATTTGCTGGGAACGAGGCATTCTACCTTAGTCCTCACAGGTTACAACGCATCCGCGTTTTCATTATTAATCGAGGATAAATGTAGATGTCTATGGACCACAGCATCCATTTCTAATCAGGTGGACTGTGTGCTCATTTGTCATTCTTATTCTATAAAAAAACCCAATGAAATGAAAGATAAACATCACGAGGAAACCTTATTTGGTCAGGTTTCCTAAGAAATAAGAAAAAACAATCGATAATATGTGAAATCCACCAAACACGCAATGGAGCAGCACAGTGGACACATTCTTTCGCTAAAACCCTCGTAGAAAATGAGGCCTGTGCCCAGCAGTGGGACGTATACAAGCTTTAACTTTACAATAACTTATTTACTCGTAATAGTAGTTATTATATCAAGAGCACGTACAAAGCCTCCAACTCAACAGAACATTTGTGACAGCTTGACAATCAGCAGTCAGTAATTGGCGATACAAATGCGTGCATGTGATTCGAGTCCAATTGATATGAACGACCATGTCTTGCGCGGAACAAAAAAGACGTATGAGATAAAATTATTTTTATTCAATATAGATAATAAGTTGTTAGTAATTGTATATATGTATTACATTTTTGTTCCGAAATTGAGAACAGGACGGAAAATAGAGTTGACTTTGTTGTTTTTCCTTCTTTTTCATATAATATGAGTTACAAAATTGCACATAATCCACCTGAAGGTAAGTAGATGTTGTGGCACACATATATCTGCATCTATCTTAAAATAAGAACTAAAATGCAGATGCACTATCACATTTGATATCAAAGATGGAATGCCTCGTTTCCAGTAAAAATGGTCTCCGGTTTTCTACACTCACCATACGAAACACAGTAGCATTAAGCTGCTATTTCGCGCTGTGAAAACGTAGTCCTTTCCCCAGTTAAAGCGACCCATTCGTGCTACAACCGTAATACACCTGCAGCCGCGCTGTAATTTCGCAATTTTCTATCGAGAAAATATCCAATTATGTGTTTGAAAAATTACAACACTTAGAACGATTATGAATCATCCATAGATATCGTTGTTTTCAGATTTGAACTCATTTTAATATAGAAACATCCAATTCTACTTTTGTGCGTCAGCCTCTACTGACCGAACAAATAAAATAACTAATAAATGATTCCCAGTCGCCAGACACGTCTCTTTAGTCCATATGCACTTTTAATATAAATTCAGTATACAATGCAAATTTAATAAAACCACATATTATACATTGTGTCCTCTGTACGTGTAAGGAATTACAGTCATGTCACGTAGGGTCCTTGCTGCGGTTAAATGCTTGTTACAAGGAAGAAAATAGACAACACAGTTCGGTAGATGATTAAAACAAAATACTTTTACGGATTTTTTCGCGTTTATTTTTACTTTTTATTTTTAATTCCCGACGTTTCGGGCGCTTTCCAGCACCCATGGTCACGGGGTACTGAGAGGACTGCAGGGAAGTCTGCAGTTTGTGATCATATCCTAGACGGCCCCAACCATTACATCAGATTTGATAGACCACAAATCCTCGCGAAAGAACACCGATTCCTACCAAGGATGATACGTGAGACTATTGAAATTAAAAAACATCCTAATTTCAATAGAGAAGGAGGCTGGGTACTACCACCTGCTTGGGATCCTATAATCAATAAAATTAAAACTAAACCCAAGCATACCACTGCAAGACCTCAGGACATAGTCAGTTCATTTTGCATAGATCGGACCATAAACAATAATTAAAAAAAGCTGAAGGTACTCCGGGTTTAACAATGACATCGGGACGTCAGTCATCTCAGTCCCCCGTGACCATGGGTGCTGGAAAGCGCCCGAAACGTCGGGAATTAAAAATAAAAATTAAAAATAAACGCGATAAAATCCGTAAAAAGTAGTTTTAACCATGTGCAATGTTCGCGTAAATA